GGGTAACACAGACACAAACAGAAACAGCAAAAGGTGCCATCCTTACAAAACCCAGCTATTTATATCCATTTCCATCCAGGACTAAGATCTAGGATTGTTATATCTTGCTGTAAGGGTGTACTTATTCGTGCATTTACATCTTTAAGACAGAATAATGATAAAAAACACTCCATGCCCTAAGTCCAAAAGTACAAGAAAATAATTGGAAACTTGAGACTGGGGCAGGGTGTAAATGTCTTGGGACAGTTCCGGCTCTCCGGTGAGGTCTACATGTCATAAGATGAATGCTTAATTACTGCCACGCTCTGACAGAGGGAGATGCAGTCAGGGCTGACTGATCCAGAAAACTGAGCAAGATAATGACCACATCTGCAAGAAATCTGCCATATGTATAAACTGAGCTGCACTAATGAGATTCGTATAAATCACAAGTTCAAATCCACTTCCAGAAATTACATTTTTGCTTATTCTACGATTTTTCATTCTTCTTTGTCTCTCACGCACGATAGACTCTGTTTGGCAGTAAATTTGTCCTTGATGACAAAGCGTTAGTGTGAATAAGACGCCAGCAGCTGTTTTCATTCTGGAATCTCTAAACCTCCCCACAGATTAGCAACAGCTGTCACATCAACAAGCTGTTAGCAAACAAGTGAATATAAATTCAGTCGTCTGCAAGATGCATTGAGCTCTCTCAATGTTGCGATTATGAGCTCTTACCTCCATGAGCCCTGTCTTAAAGTGCATGTTTGACTAAGTGTCCCTGTGTAGGAGGTGTGCTAGGAAGAAAGAAAAATTACCCTTGGATGCTTTTGGTGCTCCGCAGTCTGCCAGTCTGTGCTGCGGTTTCACGCTGGGCATCTCTCAGCGGTGGGTTCAGGCTCAGTTAGGGCTCATTCAGTGTTTTTCGTAGATCCATTGTGTCGACAGGCCTCCTGCAGACACAGTCATGGACTGCACAGTTGCAATGAGAAAAGAGCAAAACCTTTCTCTGGTTAAAACTCTGCCATTGCTCATTAAAACTGGTGTTTAAAGTGCTTCAAAATGAGTGTAATACTGACAGTTTTATCCTTCTGATCCTAATCCATCAGCACTTGGTGACATAATCATTATTTAATATTAGTCTTTATATATTTAAAAATGCTATGTTAAGTAGTTATCTTAGAGAAAACAGACAAGTTGATTATTAGGTATTTTAAATATATTAATCTCTGCATGCAAATAATAAAAGCCTTGACATTTATAATTTAAATGTTTACAGTTAAATAAAATACGGTAATGATTTATGATCAAATCCATCCATCCATCCGGGTCACTGGTGCCCATGTCCAGCTATCACTGTGTGCGAGAGGCGGGGGACACCCTGGACAGGTCTCCAGTCCATCACAGGGACACACAGAGACAAATGAGACAAACAACCATTCACTCTCTCACTCACACCTAGGGACAATTTAGAGTTACCAATCAGCCTAACATGCATGTTTTTGGTCTGTGGGAGGAAACTGGAGAGCCCAGAGAAAACCAACGCATGCTCAGAGAGAACATGTAAACTCCACCCAGAAAGGCCCCGGCCGGGATTCGATCCGACAACCTTCTCACTGAGGCGGCAGCTCTACCGACTGCGCCACCGTGCTGCTATGATAAAACCATAAATTAATAATTAGTCAAAAAATGGCTTAGAATAGTGATAAAAATAATATTAAATAAGGATCAGTTCACACTTTAGTGCTTGTGTAGTGCATTATGCGCCATCATGAGTCACGGTTATTTTCTGTTAAATGTGCTAAATGTCTCTGTGGTATTTAAAAAAACTGGTTTAGTTAACTGCTCCCTCTTTGTCTAGTGTTTCTAAGTACTAGTTCTAAGTGCTGGTTGTTTATGAAGCTGCTCGTGGTCCTCAGATGCCTCTTCAGGTCCCAGCAGACTTCGCCTGCGCCGTCTCCACTAACAGCTGAGGACAACGTGTGTCGTCATTTTCTCTGTGTGATCAGCTGCGTGCTGGTGTGCCTCTCTAACCAGAACCTGAACCATGCTAAAATAATAGAGGCTACAAAGCAGGACTAGGAACATCGCCAGCTTGATGGGATGTCTGATTACAAGACGACAGACTCTCTTGTGCAGCAGCTAAACAACACCGGGGACCACATCAGCAGACTGTGTTTTGTAGCAGCTGCAATTTTTAAAATAAAACACCTTTGTCTGTTAGAAATAAAGTCAATCTCCCCCTACTCACTACTGCTATTTTTATCAACATTTATAAGTGAACGAATGGCATGTTTAAATAATGCATAGGCCAATGATGCACTTGTCAGTGCAAACAGACTGTATCTAGCTGCCCAACAGTATAAATCAACTTTTCTTATGTATCTGTGCGCCCATGTGGCTCCGCTCCACCTCTTAGTCTGTTCATCCTGCTTTACTCCTCACAGATCCAGGACATTTCAGCAGCCGATTCTCAGATCAGACCGTCTCTCTCTCTCTAGGCAGTGTTCAGGTGAGGTAGATTTCAGGTTTTTTGTTTTGTTTGGATTCTCTCGCTGAGAATTCTCATTTTCATTTGTGCTGTGTTGGGAAATAAGTAAATCGCACTGAAAAACAGCTTATTGGTTCAGAAAGCAGGAATGTCTAAATGTAAATCTGTGGAGAAAAAAAAAAAAAAGAAATAAAATCCTAAGTAAGTAATGTATATAAGACTCATTCGTTGCTTTAGTCCACAACAACAATGAGTCATGGTAATAGGCACAGGTTAGGAACACAGTCAGGGTCTACACAGAGCTCTCATCGGGCCTGGGCAGCAGCAGAGTATGTTTCCTCTTCTCTAAGATCTTGTTGAGCTCCTCAGCAAATGGGTAGCAGAGCGGGGATGTGTTTTCAGAGTCACTCTGCCTCAGCAGCACGTAGCTGTTCCCGTTCATCCTCCTCAAAACGCTGGGCAATGTCGCTGACAGCCCATTGGGAAAGTCACACTCTGGAGAGGAAAAGTGCAGAGCAGGAGGGAGAGGAGGTGCTGGGGGAAGAGCGTCTTTATTGGGGGAAGCGTGTCCCTCACCGGGTACGATATGTAGAAAGCCTTCATCTTGTATACTGGCATTTTGCCGTTTTGAAACTCCATTACAAAAGCCATTGCAGTGACTTGAGATGGTCTTTACCTCCATGTGGGCGGAGTTTCTGTGCTGTTTTCTGCTCCTCTTGCTGCTCGGGTGTACTGCGGCCGCGGCACGCAGCGAATACTTCCCCCTCCGGCCAACTCGCAAGCAGAAGCCCACATAAACCAGGACCACAGCAAGCACCACACACAGGGTGCCAAGGACGGTGATGAGGGACAGATAGATGGCCTCCATGTTCCGAGGGGACAGCAGGAGCAGCGGTGGTTGGGGGCCCTCAGATGAGGAGTTCTCAGATGAGGGACCCTCAGTCGGTGCTGGCAGCATTGTTAAAATGCTGTGAGTTGTCTCGACCGGTGGAGGAGGGGGCAGATCAATGCTGATGGTTACATTGTAGGTCACAACAGCAACCTTGATGTTGTTCTCCACAGCGTGGCAGGTGTACAAGCCACTCTGGTCCTGCTGAGCCTCAATGATCAGCAGTCCATCAGTCCCGATGCGGAAGCCTGAGTTGAGATCGTAGCCCTGCACCTCGGTACCGTTCAGTGTCCAAAGAGGCGTCGCCAGGTTGGAGCTGAGTTCGCACTGCAGCAGGATGTCGTCACCCACCCGCACGGAGCGGCTCCGATGGACAGCATCTGAAAAAGACGCCAATTACTTAACATCTACTACATTTATTAAACTTATCGTGGCAAGAGGTCCAAGTCAAAAAATTTTCACTCTTGCCATCATAATGAGAGAGAGAAAGAGAACAGGGAAACAGAAGATGTTAGATTTCATCTGACTGAAACCGATGAGTGGCAAAAAGGCATTTTCTTGCCTTGAATATCAAACATTTCTCTCCAGAGATGACAAAGATGCTATTAAATAAGGGAGGAGAGCTTTTTACCAACACTGTCCATATACTCAACTTTCAAAGACGCCTTCACGCCATCTGATGACAACTCTGCTTCTTTTAAGCCTTAGATTTGCTATTTTTAATCTTCTTTCTACACGTTAAAAGCAAAAATATTTAAAGCAGTGGGATCAAGCATCAGATGAGATTTCTGCTTACTGTATTGCGTTTTCTCACAGCCCATTCTACCATACTGGATGTCTTGGATTAAAGTGGATCTGTGAAGAGGGAGAAAAATAAAACAACAGTGAGCAAAATAATGCAGAGAATAAAGAGTATGATTTAGTCATATCTCTAGTATCATTCACAGCTGCTTTCTACTGGCAAAGCACATCTGTCTACATTAACCAGTGTGCTTAAAGCTGCATAACATGTTTACAATTACAGCAGTGTTGAGTTTCTGCCAGGAGCGTGATTATGCAACAGTTCTGGGAGCTGACAGAGTGACAGGGCATGGCGGTACTTCAGGTAACTCAGGTCGAACTAATAACAGTACACCGGCAACACTTCAGTCACATGATCGGATTACAGACAGGTTTCCACACTCACCGGTTCGCCTCCGTCATCACGTCCACACACTCAGCTCCGTCCCAGGCGCAGTTAGGATCCCTGGCGAAGATGCAGTCGTAGCAGGAAGTGTACCTGGGACAGTTTGAGAGCGGCAGCTGAACCACACCTGACGGAGAGCTGGCATACAGGCTCATCTGGTGGAGAAAGATGATTCTGTTAACGTTGAACAATGACTCTTTAAATTGAAGCGTGACAGGCTGACAGACTACCTGCTTTGTAGATAGCAGCAGATTATTAACAGGCTGTGGCTCCTTAAACAGCTGAATCTCTTCAATGATGTGAAGCTGCCCTTTAATGTCGACAGCTTTGTGCAGCCAGCCTTCATCTGGGCGGCAAAATGCAAACATGAGAAAAAAAATAGAGCTTAAACATTATACTCATTAAAAAAAAAAAAAAATCGGAACTACAAACAATTTGTTATGACTCCTTTTGATTAGAAATGCAACAAATTATTTTTTGTTTTCATAGCAATGATAAATGTATCCTAAAAGTAATTATTTGTGAAACGCTGCCAACTATGGGATCTTATTTCTTGGAACTGAAGATAATCAGTGTTTTGATTTATTTCATTCACACTCACCTGTGCCCATGTATAAAACATGGTACATCTGTTCATCTAATCCCTGGACCGTGTTCACAGCCATATGTGTGTAGTTTGTTGTTCTCTTGAACAAAAGGGGGCGTCTGTCTACAGGTTGGACCTGCTTGGACATCAGAGGATGCCGTCGGACAAAGTCCAGCACATCATCAGGCAGGGAGGTGGAGATGTTTATGCCCTTGGCCCTCAGAGCATCGGTAATACACTGTAATTAAAAATATATATTTACAGGATATGAGGAGAAAGGCAAGCTTTTAATTATTTGTAATAAATTATAGAGACCAACAGAGGGAAGAAGAGAGGACGTTACATGACTTTGTAAAACTAAATTTTGAGGATTGTGAGAAAAATACAAACGTTTGGTTCAAATGCAACGCTTCACTTTGATTACTGTTGCACCCGGCTTCTCTTTTTGCTCTTTTGAAATGACTTTAGCGAACTCCTCTAAGAGGCTTTCAAGCTCCCAACCACCAAACCTTAACTGTGCCTCTTTAACTTTTAATAGGAAAGTTACATTAAGTCCAGAAAAGTGCTAAAAGAACTGTGTCTGCCACAAGAAACAAAATCACGGCACTCAAGTTCTTTAAGTCTGTAGCTCCAAAGACCAGAGTCTGAAAGAATGGCTTTCAGATTTATCCTTGAAGCTGACACTCAACTTCTCTCTATCAGGTTTATACAACGTCGACCCCCAATGTAGCAGACCAAGGAA